ATGTTTCCAAATAGGAATGTTTCTGATACATGCTTCAGAGTTGGATAAACAATCACAGTGACCATGACAAGCCAACAGTGTGGCAGGCATCGTGCAGAGTGCTCTGCCTGGATTGCCTCAGGCTACATCCACAAAACCCCTACATGCTGATCTGCCCTGCATTACAGGTGTGGAGCTGAGGCACTAAGGGATTAAATAGACTGCAATCCAGAGCAATGCAGTAACACACTGAGTGTGCCAACAGAGCCGGAATTCAAACCCAAAGTAGGCTGCCTCCAGGGACCAGGCCCAGACTACCTCCACAGGGCTTTGAACGCTGGCCCTTCTTAGAGTCCAGGCAAAGGGTCCCACAGTCCTACGCTGCTTTCATTTTCATTTCGAGGGCGAAGAGAACTCAGTGACAACAAACAGATCTGGAGACAAACAAAATAACAATGGAAATAGAATGCAATGCAAAAAAAAAAAAAAAAGCAGTAATAGAAAACTCAGATAATCTGCAAAAGCAAAACTCAATAATGATCCTACCAATACATATCAATTAATACAAGAGAAGCAATCGGAACCTGAGGAGAGCACAGGATGATGCTCAGAAAGCCCTGATTAGAAAGTCTCCTGGTTAAGTGTTCAAGATAGCCTGTGTTTTTTCATGGGCATGTGCACAGTAGGAGTTTTGCAAGGTTGCTAAGCAACTCCTGGCAACCAGACTGCAGAGAGCATCACTCAGTAGGAGTCTTTCTTTGGTCATGCTAGTAAGGCAATGATTTTTTAGTTCATGAAATCCAAATTTTAGATAACCTTACTATCTCAGGTAATTGGTTACCAGTAAGTCACCCTTAGCCATTCATTAAAATGCAAATCTGTAACTGCCCACCTCTCCCTTTAAAACCTATAAAATATTTGTATTTTCAAGGCTTATAAGCCCTTCATTCAACACATTTTTGTTGAAAACTTACTAAATGCTAGATATTGTTCTAGGCACTGAGGAAGAAGGTTCTGACAGCTCACTGGTGGATTATATCTGGAAAATCAGTAAGACTAAACTGGAATTCTACTTTCAGGAAAATGAAAGGCAGACATAGGAAATCAATAAAAGGGGGTATTTGGGGAAAGATAGAAGGAATAATCATTGAAAGAACCCAGAGAGTTGCAGCAATCTCTTCCAAAAATTGCCTAGCACCCTGGAGGCAGGTGTATGTGCTGCTCAGTAAGCCATCTAGGAGAACACTGTGCTTCCCTAAAGTCCACATCACAGTTGACCCAGAGAGGCTCCATGATTCACCAGCTTGTCCCTGGTCCCCTGAGCTGGCCCTGAGGCCTGGAAGTATCAGAACACAGGGCTTGGCTGTTGAGCATCTTGGAAAGTCTCCCACTTGACCTCGGGACCTCTGTGGTCAAGTGAGGGAAAGCCTATGACACGGTGTCGGTTTTTATTGGACCCAACCACCAGCAAAGTTCCCCGTCATCTGGAGTGATGGAGAAAATTAAGTTACCACATTCTCACGTTTCAGCCTCTCGCCGTTCTCCTTCGCAAACAGGAAATGTTTATTTAAATACAGCAGTCTCCAGCATGTTCTGGAGCCAAGCGAAAAACCAAAGATGTCCACTTTTGCCCCGACTCCACTGCTGAGGCCACCACCTCGCCGTGGGTGAGAAGTGGGCCTCTGCCCAGAGGCAGGATAGGGAGATGAGGCCCTGCGTGAGAGCTCATTTTCATGTGCGGTCTCTTTTTCCAGGCTGACATTGTGGTTGGATAAGAATTACATCTGTAGGCTCCGTTTGTACTCAGAAGGGTAAACGCAACATCTGTTTGCTCTGTGCTCCGTGGTAAATGTTTTGTTTCAGGCACTGCCATGGACTCTCCCTCCCCTCTCAGAGCCTCTGTCTTTGCTGCACAGACAACAAATGACACTGAATTCTCCACTCTGTTTATTTAGCTTTTTTGTGGGTGTCACCTCCTCATGGAGGAGGAAAAATAAAATCATCAGTAGTCTATAAAGACACAGTTCCTTTTCCATGTGATACGCTAACATTATGGAACACAGATCCCCAACTCTAATACCAGATGAACTAGGAACCACTCAGGCCCCATGCCAGGTGTAAAACTAAGTCCAAGTGGAGACTCACCCCACTCAGGTTTTCCCTAATGTCATACCACAAGGTTTCTGAAAGCCAAAAGAATCCAGGGAAACAACCACACACACATACCTCTTCATAAAAGGCTCTTTAGGAGGCAGGACAGCAGGAATGGAGAATGAGGAAATGCCTCTTCTTTGTTTGAAAGCACAATTTCAACATCTGAAATCAGCACACTGGATTTTCAGAAGGTCCAGAGCATCCACTGTCTGTGCTGGCAAAATTGGTACCCCTAACAAAATGAGCCCTGAGAAATTTAAAAGGCTCATCTAAGGAAGTTTCCTTCCTCCACCCTTTGCTTACATTCTTTAAGTTGCAGGGCTGGCTTCCTTCTGTATATGCAGTGGTTTTCCGACAGTTACTGGAATGCTCAAGACATGTTTGGTGAATGAATGAAGGGAAGAATGAATGAGAAAGTCCTCACTGAAGAAGTCCTCAGCATAGCGCTAGAATTAAACAGCCCTCAAGTGTATGCAGAATGGAACGCTGTGTCTGAGCTCACTGAGATGGGGTTGAGAGTGAAGGGCTGTTGAAGGGCTGACACTGATCCAGCTTGATCCTAAAGGCTGCCTCCCAATTCTAAGAAGGAAAAAGACCAGATAACAGACCAGCCTTGGCAGCCCCACTACCCCCTTGTACAGTAGCCAAAGTGTCACCAGTGACCAGAACTGAGCCAGATGAGATGCAGGTATCTTCAAGCAGCTCCTACTTTCTGCCAGTGCCTGTCAATGACCAACTGTGGCAGCAGGCCCTTGGGAATGCCCAGGATTCTGTCTTCACTGTTTCTCCAGTTGTGGAGCAGATGGCCTGCTCTGAGCTGCCTGGGTCTCCTGGCAGAGGTGGCTGGATGGCACCCTAGCTGTGGTGCCATGCCTGTAGATTCTGAAAACTTCCTACACACCAGAAGGAGAGGGGCCCACTTTCCTCAGTTTGCCAAACATGCCACATGATTATGAATATGGGGGAGGCGCAGTCTCAAGAACCCAAGTGGGACAGCGAATGTCAGGATGAGCTGAGTGTTTTTAGGATATATGGAAGCAGCAGCGGCAGCAGCTTCTTCTAAGATGCAAGCCCAACCTAGACCCTCCCAGGACTGTGTATGTGCAGATAAATCTTGGCCTAAATGGAGCCAGGTTCCAGGAGTCAGCAGACTGGTAAGGGCTGCGGGCTCGGGAGCCAGACAGGCTTGGACTCAAAATACTTTAGCTATGCAACCTGGAATAACCGACAAGATGGCTAGAGTGTAAAATGGAGTAATAAGCACTACCTGTGCAACTAAGAGCACTGTTTGTTTGTAGAGATTCAAGGACATAATACACATACGCAAATGGAGGCAGAAGAAGTGCTCCTGAATGTGAACTATAGTTATTACTTCACTAACTCATGCCATAAAAATACCACTAAAACGAGTTTTTCATTGATATGGTCTATTATAATATCTGAACAAAGGTGCATAAACCTGGATTCTGACCCTCTTATGGCCACCAACTTGTGTTTCCCTGGGCAAGTCATTTCACATTTCCAGGCCTGATTTTCTAAATGTTAATGAAGACTCAGCTCTAGCCCTCTAGGATTGTATGTTTCAACCCAACAGAACAATCCTTGCACTTGAAAAATAATATCTCAAGCCAAAGGAAAGCACTAGGAACAAGAAAGTAATTTCTATTGAGTTTCTGCCCAGAGTGACACAAAAAGTGGAAGAGAGAAGGAGGTGGGGTGATAGGAGGTGACTAACAGGAATAAACATTCTGGGGCATTTCATCCCATCTCCAGTCCCTTCCAACCCAGTCAAGAGCCAGAGGGAAGCTCAATGGCCCATCCCTAAGACACGTGGAGGAGAAGGGAGGAAGAGCCAGCCATCCAGGGAGTCTGCCATTCTAGGGCAAACCCTCACCCACTCCTCAGCTGGGTTCCCAGGCCAACTCCCACTCCCTCCCATTTCTCCCTCCTTCCCCACCCCACCCCAAATGTGGACTAAGAGGAGCCCACCCTGGAGTCCAAGTTTTGAATTTGGTCTGAGGATCAAAATGATAAATGTTTCCAAAACGTTGACATATGAAAAGTAAATATTTGGTTGCACAATTGGGGTTAAAACGAGGGTCAATCCACCCCCCTCTCCAAGCTCCTCTCCACTAGCTGCCAAGCCCAGGATCCGAAGCTGAGTGCGGTTTGTAAGATTATAGCGCTCAGTCTCATTTAAAGGGCTGTCAGCATTTCCATTCTCCGGCCCGTTTGGGGAGGCATTTATAACCTAGCCATAAAAAATTCACCAGGGCTGCAACTTGGCATCTCCGAGGCTGCACTCCAACAGGGCGGGTTTTGCGATCACCCACTCTGAATCCGTCCGGTTCTTCAGAAGTTAGACCTTCATACACACTCAACTTTCCTTGCAAGGGCAGCCAGAGAGCAGCTGGCCCATTTTGGTCTCCAAATCGGTCACAGCCTTGGGGCCCTCTCCAACGTCTCCGCGTCCTGACGCCCCATCACTAAAGCTTTCTCCTTAGCCCCGCTCTGTAACGAGCGAAGGACCCCTTACACCACCCCAAGATCTCCAGACTGCAATGTTCTCTCCTTCCCTCGCCTTGTGTCAGCGTCCTTCTCGCAAGCTGTCAGCGGGCCCTGCCTCTGGGGCCCTCACTCCCGGAGATGTATCGCTCTCTGCCCATCGCGGGGGCTTTGAGACTTCTCTCTCCACACCTGCCCCAAGCCACAGTCCCCCAACTCAGAGAACGAGGCATCTGATTAAGGAGTCAGGGAAAACAGACTTGCATCCAGCGCCGCAGAGGGGAAAAGGAAGGATCAAGCGCCCAAGGGCCCCTCTGTGTTACCCAGGTGGGTGGACGTGCAGGGCGGGGCGGGGTACTCACAGGCGCTCGGCGTTGCGGGGAATGCCCCGGGGAATCGCTCGGAGGCCCAGCCCGTGGCAGTCCACGCTGGCGGCGGAGCAGGTACACTTAGTGGGGCAGGCGACGGCTAGGGGCCAGCTCAGGACGCTAGCCAGCGCCAGGGCCAGCGCCAGGCGGGCGCGCACGGCGGCGCCGGCCCCTGAGCGCCCGGGGGCCATGGTGCGCAGGGGCCCGCTCCCAAAGGAGGCTGCCTCGGCGGGGCAGGACGCGGGGAGCGCGAGCAGGCGCGCGGGGAGCGCGGGCGGTCTGGGAGCGGGCGGTGGAGTTGGCGCGGAGGAGGGGCGAGCGCGGCGCTCAGGCGCACGGGGCGCGGGAGGAGCAGGGCGCGCCGGGCGGCGGCGGCAGCAGCTCCATTGGAGGGGCCAGAGCTGCCCCGCTGCGCATCGCTCCAAGTGCCCAGGTGCCGGGCGTCCTTTGGCCCGCGTGCCGGCCGCTCGGGCTGCGCGCTGGGTCGGGGAGCTGGAGTGAGCGCGGTGGGGCACGGCGCCTGGGGAGGTTGGCTCGGGGCTGGGTTCCGGCGTGCGGCGGCGGCGGCGGCGGCCGGGGTACGGGGCGGCCAGTCGAGCTGGCCGGCGTTCGCTCTCTTCATTCACTGAGCAGGGCAGACACCCGAGACGCGGGGCCCACCCTCCTGCCCCCCCAAAATGCCAGCTCCGCCTCCCATTGGCTGCGCCGCGCGTCATGTCGACTAAGTTGGGAACTTTGCTGGAGCGACCCAGAGCCAGGAGGGAGGAGGCAGCAGAGGAGCTGGAGGGAAGGAACCGAGGAAGGAAAGGGGCTCGGCCCCGGGAAAGAAACATTGAAACTCATTCCCCCTTAGGAACCAATGACCATAGGGCTGGTAGCTCTTTTTGTTGTTGTTGTTTTTGTTGTTCTAAGCAGTGAGCTGGACACTAAATCCCAGCACAGTCTCAAAGGGGGCTTCTGAGCACCCTCGTTTTACCAATAAAAATTCAAAGCTCAGAGAAGTGATTTCCCAAGGTCACACCACTAGCGTAGCTAAAATCCTGGCACCTCCCCCAACGAAAGTTTCGTCCCCACTTCACCCAGTACTCTTGGCAGAGATTCAACTGCTACCTACAGGACTTATTGACACTGCACAATCACATGTGTTACTAAAAATGGTGGTCCCTGTTGTTGAGGTCGCTGCTGGAAAACGCGGAAGAGGCCTGTCCTGCCTTGCCCAGACCCAACTAATGCCTGGTATGCTGCTGAGAGTGGTGAGGGCGGGACTTGGACCCCTGAATTGACAATAGCAGGTTCAGAGTCCTTGGAGCATCTGCCTCCTGTCGGGTGACTCTGGGCCAATCACGTAATCGGTGACCCTTTGTTTCCTCAAATCAGGTGGCCACAGCTCAGTCTGGACCCAGCTCTGAGTTGCCTAGAGCATTAAAGAAAGGAAAGTGTTTTTGCAAGAGTTATTCGCATGCTGGACATCCATCTCGTCTCCCCTGAAGCTTTGCCTTCATTCTTCCTGTGCCCGCTCTAAATTGGCGCGGTCTGAGCTTTTCCAGATGCCGCTGGGGAGGGGCGCGTTAGAGGTTCCATAAATACTTGCAGGAATGATTTTGTTTGTTTGTTTGAAGGGAAAGGGCAGGAACTTGAGGAAGTATTGCCCAGACTTCCTTGAGGTCCACTCACACTGGAAAAGTCTGAATGAGCCCTGAGTACACACACAGTCACACACACACAGTCACACTTTCAAACACACCCACTCACATTCACAACATATACACATGTGCACTTGTGTGTTTGCACATACACTCACACACACAAGGGCAGCAACTGTGCTCCTGAGGGCCCCTCCTTTTTCTTTCATATGAATGGTATTCTGATTCCTTCTTCCTCATTTTCCTTCAAAGAAACTTCCAACTACTTGACTACATCCTATAAATATATAGTAGAGGTGCAGATTTTATTTTATTATACTTAGCAGATTTTCAGAGTCTTAGCTCCAGGCACCCAAATATACATACACGCATGTGCACACACTCCCATAGGCACTCCAGTCCCTACGATATTCATTAACATATTAGGTGTAGTTTAACTGCTGTTATTCTTGGGAACAGTTTCTTTCTGCCCACATGCTGTTGTCATCGCCCTCTGGTGGCCAGAGAGGGTCTAGGCTCTGGTCCTTAGGGTGACTTCAGCCTTTAAGAACTCTAAACATCCTTTTCCCCTTTCCTCTGAAGCTTTCCTCCAAACCTTGAACCAATTTAGTACCAGGACTGAGGCAGATGAGAGATCCGGGCAAGAGCCCAAGGGCACAAAAGCATCTCAGACTGTCTGGAGCAGAAAAGGGTAGGGTTTTCTTTGTTTTCGCAAATGCATGCATGCTAGAGCATGTTTGTCAACCCCCTTCAGGCTGGGCCTGGGTCTCAGCACAGTGGGGGGCTGTTTCCATTTAAGTTGCTAGAGGGTTTCATGAGCCTGATCTTTAAGTGATTTCATAGGCACTCGAATGTGCTGTTTCCTGGGAGCAGTTCAGAACAAATCACAGGGGTCCTTCAGAGTCAGTCATCTTTAAAGAAGGGTCAAGTAGGAAAGACAGGAGATGTACAGAGCACCTGGCTACACAGAATCATGGATTGTTTGTCCAGCATTTATATTCTGATGACTACAGGTTCGGGTTCCACATGTCTTTTCATGGTGGGGGTGGGGATGGAGTTTCCCTGGGCAAAGATCAAAGTCCCCCTCTTAAAGATTTGCATCACAGATGAGTATGTTTAAGACCCTGAGAAGTCCTAAAGTAAGGAAGCCTGTTTAAGGTTTGTTGAAGCCAGTTTCTCAGTACATTTGCCCCCTTTTCATGTTAATGTAAAATTTTCTTGGAACATACTTTAAGAATCCCAAATATAATTCAACCCTCAGAAAATTGAGTTTCAGGGAGAGGGGGGTATGTTTGAAAGAACACCCAGCTAATTACTAAGAGAGCCCTGGCTAGGACTTAGGGTTCCCAGTGCTGAGAACGAAAGGGTCTGTCCACTCCCCAGCCTGATGCTGGGCATCTTCAGAGAGTGTCAGCCTCCTGGTGGAAGAGTTGGCTCTCCTGGACAAGTTTGGGTAAATGCTAAAGAGGTCAGGCTCTTGGGAAGAACTTTCTATGTCCAACTGCCAAAGATAACTTCATACTCCGTGGTGTGATTTTTCAGAGTCCCACAAAGGGCTCCTCAGCTAGCTCTTGGATTTTTCTCTTTTATTTTCCACAGGCTGTTGAAAAGCAAACTACCCGCCCATTTCCCCATGAAAATCCATCACAAACTCTCTCCTCCACCTGTTTTTTGTCTGTCTGTGTGAGGTACCACCATTCACATAGCCACCATTATCAGTTGAGGTTTTCTGGTTGTACGCAAGAGAAAACAACTATAACTCATTGATGCCAACCCCCACCCCCACCCTCCCACCACCAAAAAAAAAAAAAAAAAAAGAACTTTGAATAAGGCCTTAGGTTGCATACAGAATCAGGAAAAACTGAAGGAGGCTTCAAATGACTAGATCTAAGTCAGATTTCCAAATTCCCAGGAAGAAGCTACCTACCCACTGGCCTGGCTTGGGTCATGCCATCAGTTTTGGCCAGAGAAAACAAGAATAGGTGAGTGGTAGTTTCTATGGACACAACATTCAGTTGTGCAAGTAGCGGTACTGCTGTCAAAGAAAAATTGGATTCTGTCAGCTAAAAAAGCAGATGGGGTATGAAGAAGGCAAACAACTGGAGAACATCCCCCCTCCCTAACAGCACAGCCATTTAGGTCCTGCATCCTGTGACTTCTTCTCCTGGGGCCTCTCTTGAAACTGGCCCCTCTTTGCCTTTGGTCCTCTTGCTGTCATTCATATCCCCATTTTATGAATAACTATTGCTCATCTTGGCCTCCACGTTTATATCTCTGACTTTATTTCTGAATTTTTTAGCTCTGTCAAGCTATCTTTGCCCTGATGATCCAGGGATCTTTCTAAAAGCAAATCTGACAATGCAATCTTGAACTTTAGAAAAGATTCTTGCCTCTTCCAGTTCATCTCTTAGTGCTCTCACACCCACTCAATACCTCTCCTACAATGTGCTTTTCCACTCTCCAACCTTCTGACTCTTACCCACCATCAGTTCTGCAGTCATTCCTCCAGGAATCCTTGCTGCTCCAGAAAATTAGATTCTTGAAGACAGTGACCCTGCATAATCCATTTTCCCAACATCTTATTACAAAAATTTTCAAATGTCTAGAATCCATTTTTTCATGCTTGATGCCTAGAGGTGCAAATAAACCTTTGATGATTGATGAATGCATAAATGTACAAATGACCTTCCCCATCAGCTAGCTTATTTGACATTCTCCTGTTACAGGTTTATTTATTGTGATCAGTGCTATTTAATCTTTGGGGGGAGAGGAGAAGTCTATATTCTTCAGAAATGTTCTTGCATACTCTCACATCCTCCTCATTCTCCATTCTGATATCTACTTCCACCTCATTGAGACTACTCATCTCTGCTTGTCATTCTCTAAAAGATTCTCCAGACCCACCCTAGATCCATGGTCAGAGGCAATTCTGTTCCACAGGAAGCTGGTCTCTGCATACCATGTCACCTGCACTCCCTTGGGTCTGATCCAAGGGAGGGAACTGACTCAGGGAGTCAGAGGAGAGAGCAATGCTTCCTCCACACAACAACAGTTTGGCAGTGGCTGCCTTCCCTGCTGAAAGTTATAGTTCATGTCCAGCAGCCCTCTCCTCCAGCTGTCCATCTCCTTAATTACTACTCCTATCCTCTCTCCTCTTTAGGGATAGGAGTCAAAATAATTTTCCATTATTATTAAACCTCAAGCAGTTCCCATCCTGGATGATTCCTTAATCCCATCTCACCTTCCCTTTAGTCCCTTTGCTAAACTTTTCTCATTGGCTTCTTTGAATCATTAACTACTTCCTACCAGAGACCTGCAACTGATACCACCTCATTGAACCACCCAGACAGGTCTTTGGGGAGTAGGTGAACAACCCACTTAGAGATTGAGGCTATGACTCCTGTTAAACCCTCCTGGGGGAGAAAGTGACTCATGTATGTGACTTCTAGGTCATTCCTAAAGAGCAGAAATTGAGGGAAAGCTACATCAGCTGGACCTGGAGGACTACGTTTTCCCAAACTCAAGTGTTTCTCTCTATCTCCTCTGCTAGTCTACTGAACCTTTCCAAGGGCAGGATATACTCTAGATAGATAAATATTTGGTGAATGAACAAGTTATCTTACAATAACCTATCCAAGAGGAAAAGATAGAACAATTAAAAACTCCCGAACTCCAGATCCACCTGTATTGAACAAGTGTGAGCTTACCTCCCATCCAAACCATGTGACTGGGTGTTGGGATTTTCTTCTTCTCATATGATCTTGCTTCCCTTAATACAGGGACTTTCTAGGGGTGGGAACATGACTGAAAGGAACCCATCAAAATCCTCCTCTGGGATTTTTCCATCGGGAACTAAAGAAAAAAAAATCTTGTCCTTTGTGGTTAAAAAATTGGTTACATAAGAGGAACAGGTGTGTTTTGATTTGGAATTGAAGTATACCCCAAAAGCTCATGTGTGAGACAATGCAAGAAGGTT